AAATAATTTTTATAACATATTTTTTCTTGCATGTAAAGGAGATGTTCAATATTCGCATTTTTTTGTTGGAGCTTTGGATTTATGGTATTGACAGCGGAAAAAAACTAAAATGGATTTAACATACAGCCGTTTTATATGAACTATCTCGCAAGAGATCGAGAGTGAAGGATCAAGTTGTTAATCTTTGAAGCTTAATCTGGAGATTATCAGGCATAAGATGTCTTGAAGCTTAGAACCGCTTTGATCTATGTTTCGTTATTCTTATGAGCTGAGTACGGTTGATAGTCAAGCTGTGGTGACCTTGGCATTCCATGTATGGCTATTACATCAATCATTCAATTAACTATATATAAATAAAATATGGGAGTAGGTTTCTGTACTGACTATATAAAGCTTTGTGTTTCATCTCCAGAACCGCCAGTGTGGTCGTTTGCGTGTTCTGATCTGTGTTTGTTGTCTTGAATGTGTCATATGACCCCAGAAAATCTGTTTTTCTTTCACTCAAATGAAACAAGGTTATCACTTACATTTTTTTGGTAAAAGTACAAGGGGATTGTTCAAAGACATGATGATGTACAGCAAAATTTCGTATTTTGGTATAAAAAAGGGCTGAAAAACCGACAGATATGAAGAAATCTCTGTGTGAAGGCTGACACATACTGTCTCTGTCGGCGAGTGAGTTATTCGAATAACAGACGAATTTGTATTTTAAAAGACAAAAAAACGGCTGAGTAGCACTTTCGCAACACAAATTTCAACTGATGGCCGACTATAGTTTCTGAGAAGAGAGGCATCACTTTCCCATGCAACTTTTTATGAATAATGCGAGGAATAGAGACGCCATAATTGGCTATCTCAGCTTCAATTCGAATTACAAGAACACAAAAAAACCATGTTTTCGAAAACAGTCGTAATGTTTTACCGTACAATTGCGTACAGATAACAATCGAGATACAGTATAACATATGGTCAATAAGCTGTCTTCTCTTTAGATGACGCATGAATATATAATGAATGCCCACTTCTTTTCTTTCTTTCTTTTTTTTTGCAAGACATCAGAACCAGACACATCAATTCTTTTTTTTCCGAATTAATGGTCAAATATGGCTGTTGGAATATTGGAAAATAGAGAAAGTTTCGAAATTTTTTCGTCGAAGCTATAGCAGATGCACAAATGCCCAGATGAGCGTGAGTGATTACCTGAAATGGCTTTTTTTTCGAAATGTGACGTAGTATGCGAGGAGAATAGAGATTTTTGTGAGATGAATGAGGAAAAAATGTTTTTTTCGCAGAATGCTAAACATACTTTTGCGTTTAGAAGTCTCAAGGTTTTTTCCCTATCAGTTACGCACTCTTCTCACCGCGTGTGTCTTTTCTCTGGAACAGTTCGATCTGAAGTATTCTGGTGAAGATATTTTGCCTTCAGAAGAATACTTAGGAAGCTTGTTTATTAGTTATAAACAGTTTTCCTGTTCTTTATTAGAAGATAAGGTTGAGAATGAACTTTTCGTTATTCAACAAATAAATTGAATGATTTGCGTCATAATGAAAAATAAAAATTAAAAATCTTATTAAGTTTCGCGTGGGAAAGTTGGACGAAACGTGTGACGTTGGCTTTATGCAGAGTTAAATCTGAACATTTAGTATTTGAGATTGAGAAAGCAATAATAGTAAAACATATTTATTTCATTAACAAAAATTAAAATAATAATATATGTAATAACGGATATTCAGTCAGTTATGTTATGGCTACGAGAAGAGATCGTAGTATACGAGGAGTGAGCAATTCAATTTATGATGAAAGAATATAAAAGAAATATCTTTTATTTTAATTCATTTGTCTTCTTCTCTTGTTATTATCTCCTACCAGCTTGCTTCCATCACGTATATAGAAATGTGATGTAATAATAAAAATAGTTTTGAATTCATTATAAGAATAACTATCTATCAGGGGGATTGAGGGGATGTGTGTGAAAGCAGACAGAAGAGGCAAGATAAAGACATTTCAGAAATGGAAAGCTCAGGTTAAGAAAGACATATCAGTCTCTGGATGAGGTTTTACAAGGAAACTGATCGAAACATTTCGATCAATTTTGTATGAAAGGAGATCTATTAATATGCAAATTAACTCAGTCAAGTAAGAAACACACATATACTTCACCTATACTTCTGTTGTTACAAAAGCTCTGTAAAGATTATATACTATCAGTAATTAGCTCTATAGCATCATATAAATGATGAGTCAAACAATATTATGCCTTTCTCATATCACCTTTGAGATGATACGAAGCCAATTTAAACGACCAGCAACATTGTGTAGCTGGACGTTTGCCAACGTCCTTGGCACCAGGTAGCGCCAGCCTATTTATCTGAGAGAATCATCGTCGTAGTCATCAGAAAGATGCTCTTCTATGATTTGAGCGGTCTTTCTACATTCGAGACTTGAAGAGACTCTGATGACATGTCGTTGGCATAGCAGGACATATGATGGCAAAACAGAATAACTTGCGTCAGAATAGTTCGGTGAGGAACAAAGAGTGCTCTAATGGCATTTGAACAGTTGCTTCACGGTTACGGTAGAATAATCGAAAGTATATATAGGATTTGGGTGATACTCCAACTGAGTTGGATATATGGACGTATTAGAGAATAGTAGGTTATAGCTATTGGTAAATGTTCTCTTCTGCAAGCAATGCGGAACTCCTTATAAACGGAAGGAGTCGAAGAAGCTGCGAACTCCATCCATGCGATTAGTTTTCAAATAGTTTTTGTGATGATGTTGACGATGATGATGATGGTGATGATGCTTGGGTAAAGCGCGATCAATTACAACTCCGGAGCTGTCATCTTCATAAAGCCGATAGTCATAATCCCGGTCTGAAACTGTAAAAACAAGATTATATGTTTTTATTTTTACGATTGTTTAATATTTATGAAAGCATTTCATGTGCGTGGGCTCAGACGAATTATAAGTTCTAAACCCTTAACTGTGCGTAGGCAAGAAGATTAAAATTTGAAATAGGAAGCCTATTTATAGAGAAGGAGAAGTCCTATGTCTCTATCATCCGTTTCTTTTCCTCTCTCTCTTTCTTCTTTCTCTGAATGTGTACTTTATTTATGAAGTCATATCATTTTGAATGATGACGTTAGCCTTATATGACATCAAGCAATAATAAGCCTTCTATTTTGGGGGAAAAGTCGCAACCTTGGCTTTTTGCCAATACAGTCTACTGGTGGTCGTTGATGTCGTCATTTCAGAATGATTCATATGATTATAGGAATTTCAAACAAAAGTTTAATAAGATTATTGAGAAATTTAAAGTTTTCAATCATTTCATTTAATGAAATCGCAATTTCATTACGGGCTTCTACATCAAATTTTCTCCTCCGGCAATCAATCTCTCTCATTCCGCTTCTATCTCTCTCTCTCTCTCTCCCACTTTTCATTCTAAGAGTTCACTTATTCAAATAGCTTATTACTTACAAACATTTTCCTTATTAAAGTGCGGTCTAGCAAGAGTTAGTCCAATGACTACGAGGAGAACAAGCAGCAATCTCATTTTCAGCTCAAAGTTTTTAAGCAACAGTACACACGAAGTTCAAGCAACCTGAAAATGATAAAAATTGAACGAACATATGTTTCAGATGAGAAAAAAAGAACGAAAAGATATTTGAGAAAATGTATATTCCTTTCTACATATCGGAATGGGGTGAGTACTATTCGAGAGAAGCCGAAATGGCAACTCGCCAAGTAAGGGAATGAGGGCGAGAGAAACATCACGGCAGGTCCATCGGATGGCTAATTCTTTTGACAGTATGACGACCGGTTGTCGAGTTCGAAGATGGAAAGGGAAACTCGAAGATCGACAGTTCGTCTTGGAGGACGGCAATCTCCGGTAACCCAAGAAAGAATATACGAGGCAGTATGGTTAGCTTAAGAGGGCCAGAGAAACAGAAAGGAAATGGGCGGTAGAATGGAGAAAGCGAATCGGACAGTGAGAAGAGAAAAGAGGGAATGTTTTTAAAGAAGTAAATGTTACCAAAAAATGAGAAATGTAAAGAATGAGGAGGGGGCAAGTTAGTTGAGAAGGTCTTCAGATTCAGAAGCGCGAAGTGCCAGATGGAAATTTTTGAAGGGAACCGGAAATTCTGATTCGAAGGTTCAAAACCTTGAAAACTTTTGCTTTAATTAACAAAGTTTAATTGACATTATGGAATGTGTTGCAGAAAAGAGGGATAGATAGCCGAGAAGATAAACAACATTCTCGCCCTCCCACACTCCATCAACGCTAACAAATTAAATGTTAAAATTAAAAATATAAAAGAAATTAAGTTTTCAGTTTGCGATTTTGATAGAAGAGAGAATCCGGGACGAGGATTTCGCACATTCTGAACAATGGAGAGCTGATGAAACAAATGAATCCTCGACAAGCACATCAGGCAAGGGCTCGGTAGGCGGAGTCACATATGCACCGCCCACTTTGCTGGGATTTTGGAGACAGTGATTTCGTTTTTCTTCCTTAGCTCCTCCTACTCTATAATCTTGATGATCCACACATTCAAAACTATTATTCTTCCAACAAAAAATATAATGAAAAAAGAAAAGCAGAGAACACAAAGAAGTAGCTTTAACTAAAAGTAAAATTCTCTAGAAATTGCGGGAAAGGAAGAAAGATTTTTGTAAAACACCTTGTTATTTATAGAATCTAAAAATGGATGAGAAACAGGTAGAATTGAACAACCACTCTTCATCTGCCTGGTCGACCTATGATGAAGAATGAAAGAGCTGCCACTATCCGACGCGTATTTTAAGCGAAAAAAGTTGTTTTTCAAAGAGATAACCTATATAATTCACATGATGTAACATCTAAGTTATGATTTTTGTTGTTTCCCATCACGTTTTTCTTTGAATTGAATGTTATTCTGTTGGAATGATACAGTCCCGCATGATGATGATATGATCATCCAAGGCTATCATGTTGTTTATTAAGAAGAGCAGGAGGACAGTTGGATTGAGAGAAAAGTTTCGTGGTTAAGCCTCGTCATGTGCCGTTCCAAAAAAAGATTTTTTTTATTAAAAGGAGTATAAGAAGTGGGAATGTAGGAGAAATCTGTCTTCGAGCTTCTACAAACTTGAAACACAAAGTGAATCGAAAGATTGAAAGATGATTTGGCGACAAAAAACGGTGTTTTTCTCATCTGGTTCTTCATGAAGAAACAAAAAAATGGTTTTGAAATGATGAAAGAGACTGAAGTTGATCCAACTCTTATCATCTCCAGTATCATCTCATTCATCGTCATTCTCGTCACTTTTCTCTTTTGCTTGAGCACACAACATTATCAGAAATTGTACTCTTTCGAAATATTGCGTATTGTAAGTTGACTCAAAAAGAAAGTGATTCTTCATCTACTAACTCAAAGGAAGATATTGCACAACATGTGGTTGACCATGAAATTCCGATGATGACAATGTCCATTTCTATTTGATCAGAGGACACACGACGGCTATTCGGAGTAAAATAAACATTCAGTTAGAAATTTAATTAATCACGAAAGAACATCTGATAGGCTCAGTTGTAAGAGTGAGTGCGTGAGAGGTTTTCAATGTGAATTCTTTTGTTTGTTTGTGTGTGTATATGTTGTGTTCACTTAGCTTCCAAATGTTTTCTTCAAAAATTTTTCAGTTGATGATTGAGACAGCTTGATATGAGTGCAACAGTTGATATTAACTAGCGAACAAGTTTTGTCGGTACTCCATTGGTTAGCTAATGATGACGAACGACACCAAGATTTTGATCACCACTATGACAACGTCTTCTTCTTTATTTTCTTTAACTTCATGAGAGATAGAAAGAGAGGAAGAGAAATTTCTTTCAAGCATCTGTACTAGCTAGAAGGAGGAAGAACGAAACACATGAAAAAGGGCGAAACTAAGAAAAAAAACAAAAAAACATTCAAGATGATTCGGATTCTTCTTCTCTATGGGTATTATCGAGCTTTCGGAAAATCATTTATCAGTTTTGGTTTGTTTCTAATTCGTCTTGATTTATGTCTGCTGAGACAAGATTCTCACTGTTTCAGAAAGAATTATCAAAATATAAAAAAGCTCAGGAATGCTGGAAATGCTTATCCTGTTTCTCAAGAGTTTTGAGCAATGAAATGGGAAGAAAGAGATTAAGCATATGACAACAACTGGGAGCTTAGGTTCCCCTGCTTTAATGCCTTCAAGTAACTGAATGAGTAGCGAGGGTGTATGGGAGGAGATGGGATTTGAAGAATGGAAGAAGAAGTTACTCCAGACGACTAAGCTCGCTTTCCAGCCTTTCAAGATTAAAAAATAAAACTCTAACTTCTTCCCCATTTCAATTTAATTATTCGTGTGGAAAAAATTATTTTTGCAGGCTTATCAACTGACGTTTGATCCATTTTAACCGAACGTTTCTTAGCTTCAAAAGTTATCTCTTTCAATAGCGAAGAGGAAGAGAGAAATGGTACCTTTCTCTTAACCCCGTATCCGCACTTGTTTCAAATGGATTGACCGAATTGGAACTGAAGAACTTGAAGAAATAAGATGATAATGAAGAAGAATTAAGTCATTTCCCTTTCGTGACCGATACATGTCGTTTGGTCTTTCACTTTCCATCGTGCCTTGCACTTTCCTTTATTTCAATGAAGAATTGGTTCAACGTGTTTAGCAATAATACAATTTTTCTTGGGATCTTCGCAAAAAGTCGAACACTGCTATCAGAAACCGCATGGCGATTGCAAAGAGGGGGATTTGATCTTTGCCATTTATAGAAAATTCTTTATAAAGGGCTTTCTATAACTTTCTCACATTCACCGCGGAATGTATTTCAGATCAGGAAATAAGATTTGACGATACTTAATAACTCACCTTATTTGATAACATACTCTGATAAAAGTTGGAGTTTCCACCAAGATCTCCCTATCCGGATTAAACTCATCCGTCCTCGGTACCAGGATCTGTAGGCCAGTACGTCCTCATTGCGCCTGTAGTTGTAGATGTATGACAAAAGATAAGAAGTTGATGTTAATAAAACAATATTTTCTGAATATAAGCGACATCGTTTGCAAAAAATATTTCTTATCAATATTAATGTGTTGATCCTCATTAATATTTCCCTTCATAGCTGCAAGATCGAAGGGATAAATAAATATGTATCAAACACATTTTTTATTTTCAATCTGGAGTAAGAAACTTTTCAACGCGGGTGGGCGATCGTACTGGGCTGATGAAAAAACAGGTCACACTCATCAGTCAACGTAGTTTCCCTCCAATTCGAACACCTTCTCAGCAACCATTTAGGAGATAATGGAGTTAATAAATAGAGATCGCTGGCTCGAAGTTTCGCGCTCAAATTTGAATTGCTCTACGTCACTTTTTAGTTAACTTCACACGAAAGCTCAGATTGGTTGCATTCCATACGACACTGTTCAGAGTTGCGGGAGCACGAAAAAAAATTTTTTTTGAAGTTTTTTTTCGAAAAATATGGTTGTTCCTATTTATAATTGGCCGCTTAAGACTGCTTATAAGTTAAAACAACATAACTGCGTAATGGTTCGTTTAATGATGGATCTCGGGAAAACAGCTTGAGCAATCTTTGGATGTTATGCTTTTTGGTGATGAAAAATATGATATGATATAATCTTTTCAAGATCAGGGGATAACTAGGTGTGTTCTTTTTCTGGCTTTCCTCAACGGAAAATTTAAATTAAACCGAGTCTATCTATCTTCTATTTCCGTTGAGAAACTAGGTAGTCGTGCACTTTCTGTCTGTTCACATAATCTCCATTATTGAAAGAGAAAGACTTTTTAGAATAGATATGATCAGTCATCAAAGAATTGATGACCGGATTTTTTTAAGCTTTATAGCGATGTTTGTTTCTGTCTGGCATTCGTTCGTATCAATTACTTTCTTACCGAAAGACAAGATCTTGTTATTGTGGTTGCTTGATCACATGGTTTCTTCAGTTGACTGCAGCTTCTGGCAATATTCTTTTCGTCAAACTGATAGAATCTTTGATATCCTGATATCTATAAGCTTCGTCTTTCATCCACTGAAATCGGATGATTCAAGATGGGAGTAGTAAAGGAATGCAAGAAGCTTATTTCTTTAAACACTTTCCACAGGTGAACTGGTCTCCAATGCATCGGTCATGAAAAAAAGAAGAACAAGAGAAAGAAGTAACGGGTTCTTCACCTCTCAGTGTCGTCATATGCATAGTCTTGGCTATAATTGTCTGAAAATCCGCTCTCGCGTTCACATATTCTTTTATCAATTTGCTAACAGCTTTTCCTCGACTTTTTCCAGTTCTTTTGATGTCCAATAGACAGTTTTCTAACAAGGCGCAGACTTTGAAAGAAAAGAAGTCTTCTCGCCACAGTTATCGCCATCGAGAATCCTTATCTACGTAGGATAGAGCACTAACCAGGGGTTAGGGGCACGCATGGATTGGCTGAAGCTGTTGTCTGTAAGCCGAAGCTGTGAGGGAATGGCTTCCTTAAAGGACGATAAAAATACAAATGTAAGCCCATCAGACACTGATCTAGGCCATTACGGACTAAACGCTCATTACGAAAAGAAGAAGACCCAAATACTTTCCAAAATAGCCACGCGACCTTTTCTAGGAAACAACATTGGTTTCAAACAGATAACATCAAACGGCAGATGGCACAGTAACCTGATTGTCCTAATGTTCGCAGGGAAACTGTTCCTATTCTACTGCGTTCAAACTCTTTTCTGTTTCTCTTATAAAGATAAGTTGGTTGAAAGGGCGAACACAAGCAAAGGAAGTGAAAAAAATGTTTATTAACTAAAAATAATTAATTCTATGAAGTTAAAACCAATGTGCCTTATGCATTACAGACTGAGAACTTAATTAGATACACTACGAAGACCAGAAGCATCTTCTTCCCTTACAAAATGTACACAAACTCATTTGTTCGTTAGAGAAACGAACTTATTACTAATGACAACCAAAGAGACTTTCTATATTACACAAAGAAAAGCTGGAAACTTTCAGAAGCTAACTAGCCACAGAATCACATACGTTTTGAATAAATTAATTTTATAATAAATTAAATTACTATTGTAAATGCTGTCTTTAGGAAGGTAATTACCCTAACCCATCATTATTCTAGACCGAGAACAACAGCTTGAAGTTCATCGAATAACGTCTCCGCTCTACAGCCTTGTTCACATTGTTTGGAAAAGTCAATCAAATCCAACAAGGTTTTTATTCCGATTCCATATCTGCAGATAAGAAATTATGCAAACACATTCGCACACGATTAAACCTGCTATGAGAAAACAGCTCTGCAAGACGCGATTCGAATTGAGACAATTCACTTGGAACATAAGCCTCGGATTGAGCCACAACAGTCATAATTTGTTCTGGTTTGGATAAAACGGGAATATCGATCAATCGACCTGAAGCATGAGTTGAAAACTGCCAAAACAAGATCTTTACCGAAAGCACTGAGGAGTTCTAATTCACGTAGGAATGATCTGTTCGATGAAGTCGCTAATACCAATAGTCGATGATCCTATGAGAAAATTCAGTTTTTCTTAGTGTATCTATTATAAAACCTTGGGTGGTGGCATTTTAAGGAAAACAAGCAGCGCTTGAAGAACCAAATTGGAGTAGCGAGGACCAACAGGAGAATAATCTGAAGAAGAGCCCATATGAAGTCGTTCAACTTCTGACTCTTACCTATCAAACGTTCTAAGTCATCAATGATGAGAACACTCAATTTAGATCGAAGAGCATCGTCAAATGCCTTTCTCAGAGTCATACATTTAGCAGACTCAGAAAATCCTCCCATATCTACAGGAGATACAACTTTGACAAATGGGAATTCCGATCGCTTTGCAATTGTTGCAGCCAGACAGCTTTTACCAGTTCCAGGTAAACCTAATGAAGTCCATAAGAGAAGTTCATAAGTTTCTGAGCTTACCAGCAAAAACAGCAGTCACGAATCTTCCATTCTCTCTATTCTTAGCAACTTCAGCTAACAGTTCTCCCTTTTCCAGGATGGAGCTTACTTCTGGTCCCCAAATAACAAGACCACCACGGAGGAAGTTATCGAGCTGCTCTTCACTACGTCCAAACGCCTAATCCATTTCGTAAATTCATCGTTCATTTGAAATAAGACTTACAGGCTTAACATCATGTTCCAAAGCATGATCAAAGTCTTCAACAGTGATCATAAGTTTCTCAATGGCGTTAGGATCCAGTTGAACCTGAGAAAAACAGTATGATGATTCGCTTGGCTCAGATAGTTTCATACCTTTCCACCAGCTCGTACTAGTCTATTCATAGCACTAGATTGGGCAGCTCTAACAAGACCTTCAATTTCAGCACCAGAAAAGTTTTTAGTTCTTTTCGATAAGTCTAGCAAATCCACATTAGAATCAAGTTTGTTGTACTCTCTAAAAACCAAAATATTACTATTTTCAACTTTCTCGAGAACGCCACCTCATACGAGCGGTATGAATTTTGAAAATCTGCACTCGACCATGCTCATCTGGAAGGCTGACCTCCATTTGAACTTCCAATCTACCAGGACGAAGTAAAGCCTCATCAATCATATCTTTGCGATTTGTCATGCCTACAGTTCAAAGGTAGTTGATGAGATATAATCATTACTTACCGATAACGAGAATATTATTGAGTTGATCAACTCCATCCATTTTTGAAAGCAATTGGTTAACAACTGTGTCGTGTACTGAAGAAGATCCAGCCATGGAACCTCTTTGTTTACAAATTGCATCAATTTCATCAAAAATGATAATATGTAAGCCAGAATTACTTCCACATCTGTAATCAATTAACCTTTCAGAGTCAAATCAAGAGCAATCCTAACCTCTTCCATTCTTCTTCAGCATCTGCGAATAACTTTCTGATGTTAGACTCAGACTCTCCGACATACTGAAGTAGCCGTGTAATACAATGAACGAAACTTTTATCAAACCTTGTCCAAAATCTGGGGACCATTGACAATTTTGGGCTCGCGAGCGTTAAGCATTTTTCCGATTTGACGAGCCATTAGAGTTTTTCCTGTTCCAGGAGGACCATAAAGAAGAATACCTCTGGTATGTTTCATACCTAAATACGAAAACTACAACTTTCAGAAGTCATATAAAATCAAACCCAGTTGCTCAATGAACTCAGGTGGGAACACTCGAGAAGCAAAAACTCTTCGGAACACGTCAGCGAATTCTTTATCCAACCCTCCAATTCCCATCTTCTCATAGTCCCAATCCGGGTTGATAAGAGATCGATAGGCAGCTTTACTGAACAACATAGCATGAATATATAATCTAACTTTTTTGTAACACACCCTTTGCTTTTCCCGATCAGATTGATTTGAGTACCTTCCTCCCTATCGAAAACAATAGCGGAATTAGCTAAAAGCTGACCACAATCCAACTAAAAATGCATAACAATTAATTCTTTCAAAATCCCATGTCCTACCGGAAACGTGGAAGCCTTCGAATCTCCACCTCTTGCGGCAGCTGCCAAATCAATTCCTATAAAGTGCTCATTAAAAAAAACCATTTTTCTTTTTCTACCTTCAATGTTTTTCACATTAATACTCAATGTAATAATTTTTTCCTTTTGTTTAATGGGAAAACTGAAAACTCGTTTTTCACCCTTCGTGAATGCTTTTCCAGAAAACTGCATCAGGAATTCTCGGGCCATTGCGTCACTATCTAATGGCTCTGGAGTAGCTCTTAATTTGATGCATATGATTTGATAGATTCTCATAAAAAATACTCTTTCTTTTTCTGGAAATCCACAGAGACTGTCAATGCTCCGATGTGTTGGTTCAACTAAAGAAGAGTTGTATTATCATAACAACACTGATAAACCTGAAACTCGAATGCTCTCACGCGAACTTCTTGGCATAATGAAAGCATAGCCCATTGTCTCTGCGTACTTGCAAAAGCAATTTCTCCCGGATTCACTTGGGGGTGGTTAGCGAATGAGAAAACGTAGCGATGAGCAGTTCCCGGAATAATTTCAATGTGCCTGAACAAAGAAAATAGTTAAAATGTTATGAAAAATTAATATTAGTGGTCGAAGTTAAAAATTCCGCCTTTATGCACAACCGTTTCAGATCTCTGACAAGACAATAATGAAACCACCCTGACTTCATGAACATTTGCAGTTTTTTTTGTGTGGATTTTCTCAGACTTATTCACAGTTTTCTATCAGAAAAAAACTAGTTAATTTGCAGACTCGTAGCGTTTCCTCATTGTACTCTTTACAAATGAGGATTGCCGTTCTGGGAAAACGTGCAGTTTAGAAAATCTGATATGCTCGTCTCCTACAATTGAGTTTATTGCCTTGGTTCCGGCAGAACTAGCAATGCTATCTTCCCGCTACATACAGCAGATCGATAGCTCGGTGCTTAACGCGCAAAATAAAGCAAGAATTTCCAAAACCGTAGAAAAGAACATTGGATATATAATATGAATAAAATACTAAAAGAATACTAAGCGACTTCATGCATCTCATTATTCGTTCAGCTCACAAAGCTCAGGAATTCGAAGAAGCTTACTTGTGATCTTTTGCGTTAAAATCATGGATATTGAGAATAGCACAATTAGTGACAGCCAGTTCATCTGTTGGGCATTTCACCACTCGAAAGGATTTCTGCCATGAGAAAAATGTTGCAAAAAAAATTGATAAATAACAATACCTGGCTCATTTTGAGTGAACAGCCTCTCCAAGTTTGTTGAAATCCTGAAAAACTTAAAAAAAATAATCAAAAGCTTAAGTTGACAGTGAAATTTATGCAAAGTAAGAGCTGAAAAGTTGTTATAAACGGAAAAAAACGAGTTTCTGAGCGAAAACGATTGTGGAGCATTTCTATATATTCTGCCAGAGAAGGAGGTTAAAACGGAATGGCCCAAACATCAAGATCGATAGCCAACAGCATGCGCATGGAGGGAGGACTCCATCACACAACTTTTCATGAAAGAAATAGAAAACGATGCGTAACATCTGACAGAGAAAAAGAAATAAAAATTATTGGAATGAGTGTGATGAGCACTTAAGTGAAACAAACTTAGAATTCAACGGCTTTTGGAGGGAAACGCATCACGCATACATTATATTCAACATCCATACTCCATCTATGTGGACAATTGCAAAATTGGTCCCGCCACGATTCATACAACAATTAGCGGACACGACAGAATTTAAATTTTCTAGTACTTCGGAATAGTTTTATATCTTCTCTTGTTTATGATATTGCATATCTTTTTTCTTATTTTTATCAAAATTATAAAGGAATAATCTGAGTGTGAGGTATTCAGATGGCTGAGGTCCTTGTGAATGTTCTAGACAAAACACTATCACAAAGTAAGATTTCGAATTTCGGAAAAATTATGTAACTTTCAAATTGCAGACCCTGAAGATCAAAAGAGGGCATTGGAGTTTTTAAATAATGCGTCAGCACAAGATTTTGTAAGATTTTTTGAGGTTATAATATACGTTGAGATGATTCCAGCCCACCTTTGTCAAAGAACTGAGTTTTATTCTCAAAGCTCCTCAAGTAAATAATTTTATCCGTAAAGCTGCCGGTTTACAATTGAAAAATGTTTTATCAGCTAAAGAAGAAGAGACAAAACACCTCTACTTACAAAGGTAATACAACTATAAACATGAATATTAGTATAAATTGTAATAGATGGCTTCAATTACCTGCTGATGTGCGGCAAATTATCAAAACCAATGTAATGGAGACTTTGGGAACAGAAACATCTAGACCATCCACTGCGGCTCAATGTGCGGCAGCCATCGCATGCGCCGAGATCCCTTCCAATGTACTAATTATCTAGAAATTCAAATCACAAAACTGTATTTAGTTATGGCCGGAAGTTATAACTCGGCTTATGGGTAATGTCACTGATGCTCAGAGTAGTGAAAGTTTGAAAGAGTCATCGTTGGAAACATTAGGTTATATCTGCCAAGATATTGAACCGCAGGTAATCGATGTCAATTGCTATTATAGTAAAGAAAAATATTTTCAGGTTTTGGAATCTCAAGCGAATTCTATCCTTACAGCTATTGTAAATGGAATGAAGAAAGAAGAGCCTTCTAATCATGTTCGTTTAGCTGCTACAACTGCCTTATTAAACGCACTAGAATTCACACATAGCAATTTCCAAAATGAGGTAGAATTTCACATTTATTGTAATTCGTTATATCACGCTTCTCAGTCTGAACGACACATCATTATGCAAGTAATTTGTGAAACTACTCAAGTAGAAGATATTCAAGTCAAAGTAGCCGCTTTACAATGTTTAGTTCGCATCATGACGCTCTACTATCAGCTAATGGAAACTTACATGAGAGCTCTCTACCCTGTAAGCCAGATTTTGTCATTTAATCTAGTCTTTGATCATCAGATCACGGTCCAAGCGATGAAGAGCGAAGAAGACAATGTGGCTCTTCAAGGAATTGAGTTCTGGTCTAATGTCTGTGAAGAGGAGATAGCGCTGGCTGTGGAAGCTGAAGAAGTCAGTTATAACCGAGTTTCTTACATTTTCTCATTTTTAAGGCTGAAGAGAACAACAAAGCTCCGGAAAGAGTATCTCGCCATTATGCTAAAGGTGCGACACCTCATTTGTGTCCTCTTCTGTTGGAAACTCTTGCCAAGCAAGGTTAGTGAAACGTGAATGACGAAAATTTTGGGTTTGTAGAAGAAGGTGATGATGATGACGATTGGACTCCATGCAAAGCTGCTGGTGTATGCATTATGTTACTGGCTCAATGTGTGGGAGACCATATTCTCGATTCTGTCGTTCCGTTCTTCCCTAACTTCACCAACCCTAACTGGAGATACAAGGACGCAGCTATCATGGCATTCGGTTCCATATTGGACGGTCCTGATTCAGCCAAGCTTCAGCCATTAGTGGAACAAGCTTTGCCATTGCTGATTGATGCTATGAATGATCCAACTGTAACTGTTAGAGATTCTACAGCATGGACAATTGGTCGAATTCTTGACGTTTGTCCTGAAATCGCTAGCAATGAAAATCTCATTCGTGTATGTAGTATTTCATCAGCTTTATACTTTTTTGTTTTCTAGGCACTTCTTCCAGTTTTTAGTTCCGGATTAGGTCAGGAACCCAGAGTTGCCGCCAATGTCTGTTGGGTATTGAATATAGCTAGATTCTTGTATTAAATAGACATTTTTCAGGCTTTGGTATCTTTAGTCAAGGCAGTGTATCACTGTGCAGTCAATAATGGAACTGATAGTACTGGACAACCTGATACTTATGCTCTTTCCTTCTGTTTCCAAGCAATGGTTGATGAGTTAATTAAAACAACTGACAGGTTTGGTGTTTGAGCGAGTTCAATTTTTGAGAAAAAGTTTTTTAGACCAGATAGTAATCAATCTAACCTTCGTTTGGCCGCTTTTGAAACTCTTATGGAGTTGATTAAGAACTCTCCAAAAGATTGCTATCCTGCTGTTCAGAATACAACCATCATTATGTTGAAAAAGTTAGAACAGCTTTTGAGCATGGAACAAGCTGCTACAAATATTAGTGATAAAGTCAGTTTTACTGTCTCACTTTTCGAACTTAATCGGGTTCTTTAAGTCTGCTGTTGTTGATCTCCAATCGCTTCTTTGTGCTACTTTGCAATCAGTCCTCCGGAAAATGAGTTCTGAGGATGCAACAGTTATTTCTGATCATATCATGAACGGTTTGATTACTATCATGAGTCGAGCCAACGGTAAAAGTGGTAGTGTTATGGAGGAAGCCTTGCTTGCTGTTGCCGCTTTAGCAGAATGTAAACTATCATTTTTATATATACTCATAGTTTTGCGCTTTTTTCAGCATTAGGAGCCAACTTTTCTAAATATGTTCAAGCCCTTAGTCCGTTTATCGTTCAATCTCTTGGTACATATGAAGAACCCCAGGTATCATGAACTTTTAGATCGTATCTCATATGTTTAGGTCTGTATTGCTGGGGCTGGTTTGGTCGTAGATGTCTGTCGTGCTCTTGCTCAAAATATTGAAGCCATTGCTCCTTTCCTAGATACCATCATGGAACGTTTGGTCATTTCCCTAACGGTTTATATTCAGTTATTCCATATTGTTTATATAATTTTTTTAGGAAAGAACATTCAGTCAAGACGCTAAAGTACAAATCTTAGGAAACTTTGGTGACATTGCTCTTGCTATTGGCAATTACTTTGAGAGATATATTGAACACGTTTCTAAGCTTTTGAGAGAGGCCGCAAGTGCCATGGTTGTTGATCCTGTAAGTTACAATATGGTTTGACCAAGTTGAGAAGTGAGCGAAGTCGTATAATTGGAGTGAAGGGACCCCTGTTGTTCTTAAAGTATTTATAATATTTCTCGTGCTCTCCTGCTGTTAATTCTATGAAGGAGCGTCTTGTTGTTTACGCGAAAAAAAACATGACGCAACAGAAGGTCACGAACTTGATTTAGATAGTGCATATGAGGGCAATGATGTGTATCGAAATTTTTAATTACAAGCCGAGATATTGCAGAATGATGAAGCTCAAGTGGATTATGTTGATTCTTTGAGAGATAATGTTGTCAGTTCTTATGTTGGAATTCTTCAATCCATGGTACCAGATGGTGCAGATAAGGATGATCAGAAGGTGGTTGATAGAGACAACTGCTTGGCATAACCTATTACGTTTTCAGAAGGAACAAGCTCAACAAAATGTCAGCCGTTATCTCCAGGATATCACTGATCTCATCACCAAGTAATAATCTCTTCTAATACTCTTACGAAAAAAATTTCTTAGAATCTGTGACCAGAAACCTGAGCCATCAGAATCCTTATTAGGAACTGTCACAGGATTGATCGGAGATCTCATAAGCTTGTATGGAGGCCAAATCCTGTCTTTGCTCGGCAATGAGAAGGTTCAGTCATAAAGAATTACCTTGATGAAACTTTTTTTTAAGATCGCCGGGCTACTGCAAAGAACAAGAAAGTGTAAATCGTCTAAGAACAGATCGCTAGCCAATTGGGCTTTAAGGGAGTTGCGAAAAGCCAGCAATCAAGGATCTAACTAATTTTTTTTTGTTTGTTTTGTTTTTTTACTAAAGTACTAGCCTTGCTCATTATGACCCGTGTGAAAGTTTGAGTCTCAGTATCTAACCGATACAACTCTGTGTAATTCAGTCATTCGTATATAAAGTGTCACGGGTTTGTTTTTGCTTTTGACATTTCTCTAAATTAATTATTTTACACCTTTGCGCTTAAATACGAGTTATTTGACTTCAATGCGTCTCATATTATAGACTTATTAGGAACGTGAGAAAGAGTTTACAATTTTTATAGTATGGATTACATTGTCTTTAGATTTTATTTCCTCAGGCTATTCTGATATTAAGATTGGCTTTATCTACGAGTGTGAGTGGTCTCAATTGGATCCCAGTGATTATATCATGCCCTTCAGTAGGGAATCCGTCCGGTGTGTGAGGGTTCTAATCCGAGTAGTGATCTTTGTCTGCCATGACTGAAACGCTACTACAGAGTGAGTGCTTGCCCCCTTCCCTATTTTGTTTTAGTACAGCGGATACATTTTTACTGACTTTGTCAAGCTGTTGTGTTAAACAAGTTCTATAAAACATTTTAAATGATATTCTTTCTTTATTAAAGATCATGTGAAACACCGAAATGAAAGAGATTGAAATCATAAAAATGGATCATAACCCGATATTAGTTGAATGAATGTACATATATATCTATTTTAGGTTATTATACTGATAGAGTTGCTAATTGATATAATAATTGTAATAAACTAAATAACTGATTCTTATCTGAGGAATTGTTAGAAGATCTGTAAACTCGTAAGCATTCAACCAACTTTTCCCACACAGGATTGCTGGCACCGTCAAGACTTGGTACACCTGGATTTGAGTTAGCTTCAGGTGTTTGTATTGGATTAGCACAATGTATAGCTGATAACAAAGCCAACTCTTCTTCTGTGATATTTTTTAAACCTTGTTGAAGACGAGATATCAACTTCATATTAATATTCACATCTTCAGTAGGAAACTCTGATTTGGCATAGCGCAAATGCTGAAAAGCAGGGATTATGAGTAACTCTTGTCTCTAAAAACTCACCATCAAGCCAAGAAAAGAATTCTGCACAATCTGAGGGAACTGTTCCCGAACACCTTGAAAAGCAGAAATGTTCTTTACGAACTCTAAGCATCTCATTTGAGCATCCTAGAAAGAAAAAATCTTTCCAAGTTATACTTTCTAACACCAACCTTATCACTGATAATCTTATAATTATCGGGGAAAGCCATTCTATATGCTCTTATTACATCGTTGGATAGCATGAGGAGATCTCTCGTAGAGTCAAACTCCTTATCCCTGTCATCATCACTGGTTTTTCTCTTCCTGACACGATCATTTCTGACGGATTCCTGTAAGTTCAGAATAATTGATCTTTCATCGTTGAAAAAAAAATTACCTTTGTCATTCCTTTGGACAAACATTTTTGGAAACGGCAAGCTTGGCATCGATTACGAGAAATTCGATCAACCTTGCAGGATCCATCCCTATGGCACTGGTAGTTCATACTCTTTTGAACAGATCGTCGGAAGAAGCCCTATAAAAGAAAAAGTAGCCATCTGGATTATCGACACGACCTAATGGCGACCTAAGAGCTGGGACATTTTCCCAATAGCAAACTTTTGAGGTCAGGGCATACAAGTAGCTCATGAGACTAGGACGTAACAAAGAACAATAGTAACCAAACAAAAAAAAACAAAAATGAAGAAAATTTACCTTGCAACCTTCACAGCTCATAACACCGTAATGAAAACCGCTTGCATTATCTCCACAAACTTCGCAAACTTCTCTACCAGGAAGTATTATCTCTTCCGTTGCCATCTGAATATACCTTGGAATACTAGAACACAATTTAAACTAACCTTGGCTCTGAGTTGTTCCAATTGCATTTGCATATATTGTTGGTTATAAGGAAGGCTCATATTCATCATTTGTGTGTGAGGCATCAGCATGAACGATGGAGGGCCTGGATGTTGCATTTGCCGATGAGTAAGAGTAGATGACGTTGGAGTTGAAGGAGTGTTCGGTGTCGTTATAGTTGCTTGCGGAGCAACTTGTGGAGTTTGAGGAGTATTAGTAGCTATAGGAGTATGATGTAACGGGGGTGCTTGATGATTTTCCGAAGGGCGAAGCAAAGAAGACATTGAAAACGAGTTTGATCTTGAAAGGCAAAGTTAATATGGCTTTAAAAAAAAACCTACCTCGAAGAATGGGAAGGGGATCGCGAGCTGGAGAATGAGTATGGCGGAGAAAGACTGCTGGACTCATTACCTGAATCCCTTAAAAAAAACTTTTCGTTGAGATAGTACAAGTACCATTTTACCTGTCTTCTATGGCAAGCCGGATGTGTTGCATTGATGGGGCATCCCTAGTTATAGAAGGGGCTGTTTCACGAGGACCATTTGGTTGATGATGAGTTTGTTGATGAGCTTGAGGATGAGTTTGAGGAATAACTTGAGGATGAGCTTGAGGAATAACTTGAGGAATAACTTGGGGAATAACTTGATGATGGGCTTGATGAGGAACAGGTGGATGAGGAACCTGACTACTGAAATAGAGTGAACATCAAACCTGAATATTAATGAGCTGTCTTACCGCATATCTGGCACTTGTGGCATACCAGGTAATCCAAACGGGTACTCTGGAGGAAGAACCATACCCTTATTAAATGGAAGGAACATATAAGATAATAATTCTTTTGGATAGTTCAAGTATGGCTGGGTGGTATGACGTTCAATACCTAGACCAGGCAGAGTGAAAGGGGCTCTCGGTGTGGAAGGAGTTTGAGGATTCGAACAGACTTGGGTATTACTAGCCGGTTTAGCCATATTATTAGAAGGAGTGGAGACATTGGGAACCTGGTTATGATAGAAATAAGAGGAACACGTAGAAGAATAAATAGTACCTGACTAACACCTTTCGGTGTCACCACAGAGAAAGCGCTGGAACCTGCCAGACCCACATTCTCCGATTTTACTTCGAACTTTTTATCAAGATCATGTAAAATATGCTCGTTATGAGGGAAAGCCATCCTCAGCATGCAAGTTTAGCACAGATGAGCACAAGGAGGTTATCTGATCCACACAAGTAGGTTGGGCTAAGATTGCCCAAGTCGAGGGGCGGAACGTAACTTACGGGCCCAGCGTCAGGTCACCAACCTCCTGCTGACCTTATATGAACTTCTGTCTTTCCCGCCAAAATGGTTAGGCCAAGACGCTTATAATAATTATGAACATTATCTAAATGCGTAATATTTCAAATTAGGAAGGGTTTGCCCAAACTTTCATCAAAAAACATTATTGGACCAACTTCAATTTTCATATTTTGCCTGCTACAGCTCCATACTCTCTTTGTTAAACCGAACAGAAGATTTTAATTTTGATAAGTTCTTTCTAACGAGAGCTATCGTAACTTTGTTGTGTAATTCCTTTGAACTATGAACAGTATGATCCCAGAAGCAAAACATTGGTTCGGCTCACCTAAGGATATTTCGACACTTGAAACAGTCAATCCTTAAGGTGACACTTCTACACATGTCATTCATATTGCTCTAACACATAATCCTAAGGTCAACCTGAAACCAATGAAATCCAATGTTTGAGTCGTTCTTTGTTCAAAATTATCCTAGGTCATATTATGTCAAGATTTCCTGAACAAAGGAATAGCTACTAACGTTTAATGAAAATATTGATAAAATTTTATTGCTGTTATTTGAATCTCTAACGGAACAGAACCGCATTAGTTTTCGAAACCACTTGCGCGGTTGAACCTCATTCATTTGTATATTGCGTACAAAGCAAAATTTATTTTCTGTAATAGACCGCCGAGAATGAGTACGCGTTTACGTCCTATTGGCTAGAGTGAGGAATAGACCTATCATATCACGTAGTCATATCATCTCATTACTATGTTTATTGAAATGTATTTCATCAACTCTATCCTTGAGTTATTCTTTTTTTCCTTTTCCTTGATGTGCCAGAATCGATAAGATCTACACACTTTGGTTTGTCAGTTATGTCACGAATATCAAATTCACGACATAAAAGTTGGAGTGTGAACGGAGTTGAAGAGTTGGTTTCATGAACCAGTAGATATATTGTAGATAGATAGGAGAAGATCAAAGGCTTTGATTTTTGAATATACGCATGATGTATTATGTGATTGACTAATCATCAGCACAATCATAAGACTTTTGAATCCATTTTCACAACTAACGAAACCGAAAACAATGGAGAAGTAATGAAAATCACATAAATTATTCCCTCTTTTCTTTCCAACATCATTACTATATTAGTTGTCATGTTCACTTATGTTAATGAATTTCGAAAATCTTAAGTTTATGTGCGATACATTTCGTCAGACTGTTAAACTTCACAAAATGATCACAAACACCAGAAATTATAAACTTTCTACCAAATTGAGTTAGGACGAAAAATCGTACATTGAAAGTATCAAACAGCAGAAATTATCTCACTAAACTTTATTTCACCGTTTACAACGCTATTGGTCCCGCCACGGAGTTTTTCATTCTCCGCTCCGCTACCGTAGTACTAGGCGTTTCATCGCATTCTTGCAGCCACAGCCTAAATTTTTTCGTTCTGTTTTCGTTGTTTTTGTATAAGAATACCGAATTTATTAAAAAAAATTTATATTGGTATTGAAAGCAACACGTATTCTATCGGTTTTTTGTATTTTTTTGAAAATCAATGTACTTGTTCGTTTATTTTTTGTTGTTTTAATTTTTTTTACCCTGAGTGTATTACTATTGATTTCATAATGGCGCTTTCTCATTTTCTAAAATTCAGATTGGGAAAACATGCCTTGCAGTCGCGTTCGTACCAAGACGGTCAAGAAGGCTTCTAAGGTCATCATCGAGAAGTACTACACTCGTATGACCAATGACTTCCACACTAACAAGAGAATCTGTGATGAAGTTGCCGTCATCGGATCCAAGAAGCTCAGAAACAGAATTGCTGGGTAACTTCATTTTTCGTTTCTTTCTATGAACCTGTAGATTTAAGATACATCACCCATCTTATGAAGCGTATTGAGCAAGGACCAGTCCGCGGTATCTCCATTAAGCTTCAAGAAGAGGAGCGTGAGCGAAGAGATAACTACATGCCAGAGATCTCTATCGTTGATCCAACCCAAATTGGAATCCTTAAGGTTGACCCAACCACCAAGTCTATGCTTGACAAATTGGTAAGCTTACAAATTCTGAATCTGTATCTATTCATGCTTTTCAGGACATCGCTCTTCCAAATGTTATTGTTGATGACCAAAAGGCCGTCAAGAAATTCTAAGGTGGTTAATGTTAATGTTCCAATTCCTTTTGTTTTTTGTTAACGTAAGTGAATGAAGAACTGTTTATTATTGTTATTTTATTTTCAAATGTCAAACGTTAAAACATAGAAGGGGGAAGTATCGTGATTACTGAGGTTAATCTCTACTTCATTATCATCAGTAATCGAAGACGTTTCGTTTCCACTGTCAAATTCTTCGTCGTCTTCCAAAGACTCAATCAGTTCTAGGTCTTTGTTAATTTTACTTTTACTCTACTCAAATACCTAGAAAATTCTCGAGGTCCCCTTTCTCTATTAGGTGCTCTCCAAACGCAAGTTCCGGCTTCTCAATCATCATGAGCACTGATCTAGTTGCACAAAGGAATGATTTTGTGGTTCTACATTGGGGAAAAAAGAGAGGGGTGAATGTTATTAAGACGTCTGGAATATATTGTTTGCATAGCTTGGTAGTGGGTTCTGATACCTGTTAAGGATGAGGTGGTTTTAGCTTTTGAGATGTTGATCAGTTTGAAGAGCGATTGACAAATGAGTTGGAGGGTAAGTATCTGATCGTCGCATAGAAAATCCAATAGTCTGTAGAGTTGTGGATAGATGGTTGGTGATTGTGACTTACCCTTTAAGGTATACGCAAAGCAATTCTTCTGGCATCGTTTCTGAGATACAAACAAATTCTTCATAAGCAAACACAGGTGATATCACGGTGGCGATTTCCTAAAGAGATGAGAGGTGTTTCGATTTCTCGTTCTATTTCGAAACCTTGAGCACTGACAATATGGCATTTGGATGAACTTTGATTAAATCGTGGGAAGATAATTTGGACAGTTTAATCTTTTCTAGAAGACAAAAAACTTCTGAATTTATGTGTTCAGGAGAAAAAAACGTTGGGAAAGTAACTACCAGGCGTTTTTGGATATCTGATTCCTAATTGCTGTTCTGTTTCAAAGAGATCCAAATCACACACGGAGGCGAGGAAGTACTGAAAGTTCGGGATCATCAAACCTTTGATAACAATAGAGAATGGTCGAATAGAACGCTGAAGATCATAAAAGTTCCTGATTTATAGTCTTTTTATTCCAGCATCCTTATTTATCTATCATGTGGGGTTGCTGACGAATCGAAACATTGTTTAACTTCCAAAGAAGAAGCTTGAGAAGAAAAGCTTCGAGAAAAAATTATTTATCGAGATGAAGATCAAGCTTCGAAGTGGAACGTGGTGGAAACTTGCAGCGGGAATCTTTGATGTTTCGTGACAAATCTCGGAGTTGTAACGTAGGTGTGTTAGGTTTATGAGTTCGTTCTTAACATGATTTCAGCCTTCTTCTGTTGGTATTGCAGAAAATTGCTTTAGTGGGGTCAGTAAGAGTCGTACTTTAATAGGAGGTTTGATAGTTCGAACGAAATGTCTAATTATCTTGAGGTGAACAAACTCACGCGAAGGTTCACTTCCATCTTTTTCCGTTTACTTGCGGAAGGTCCTATACCATAATTTACATGAGTCATGTTGATGAAGATCTGTAAGCATTGGGGTAACAATAATAGCATCGTAAGCTGGTTTTGTTCGCTGTGTCCAAGAGTTCAATGGTAGAAATGAAGAGAAAAACTACTGAATAAGAAAGAGGCAACGAGCCGTACATGGTTTGAAGGTGGAACTACATACAGATACGACTGTCGGACCTCCCGCTTGAAGCTCCGCCTATTTAAATGTGCGCCTAATGTTAACGAACTTGGGTTTTGGATATCTGCAAATCTTGTCAGAAAGTTGAAATCAGCGGTTAGTGATATATATATAGCAGACAGGATTGGTTTAACTTATTCAAACTGGGAGGGAACAATTTTTCTATTATTCAAAGGTTTTTCATTTTCATTCGAAAAACTCATGCTATCACCACATAACGGGTAATAGAGTTCAAGTATCAAGGTAATATAAGAAAAATTGAAAGTTAAGGGTGCAGAGCAGATTAGCGACGCCAATTTGGCGTATGTTTGTATGAGGAAGGAGGAGACCCCAAGGCAATCGTACCACGCCCATTTCAAGTGTCGGTATTATTGGCTTTAAGTTGTTAAGAGAATTCCGGAATTCTTTTCTACTTCATTGAATAATACAAGAGTTTATATTAAAAACAAACAAATGAAGATTTATTGTCAAGCCCAAATACTTTTGAATACTCTAAAATATCTAGCAAATGAACTGGGAGAACAGAAATCCCAAAAGCGTTAATGGTTACAAGCCTGGAAGAGTGACCATAATGAGAATGATAACGACATCAACATGATTCGAAACAAAGAGAAAAGCGTAAAATGAAGTATTTAGAAACCGTGAACTTTACAGTTATCTTCTTTCACAATTCCGACCTGCAAGTTGAGATAAGTAATTGGTAATTGTGAATGAACGAACCTTCACAAGGAAGTCTTTGATTTGTTGTCTCTGGTCTCCTGTAAATTGCATAACCTCTCCATATTCGGGATTGTTGACAACAGTTCCGTTACAACTGTATTCCTAGAAAAAAATCAAATTGAAATGTTTCTGTGAAGGTTATTCCCCCTTCGTTCAGATCATTTACTTTGATGGTTAAGGGTTAAACATGTAGATGTGAAGGACATAAGATGGTAATGCGACTAACATATTCACTTCCCCAAACATTAGAACAACATAAATTCAAGATTTACATAATACAATAATATAATGGTCTTGTCGAGAAGATGTCAAGAAATCTGCATGGAATACTCGGTCACATACACTATAATGTGATCGCACAAGAACATCTTTCAAAACTTCATACAACTTTTCGTACAAAAGAATATGAGAATAGTTAAGAGGACCGTTTTTATCAAGCCACATTACTGGGTCAGAATAGAAGATATCTCCTTCATCTGCTTGATTTAAACCGTTCAGATCTGGAGAACAGTCTAGTTGGCGAATGTGTTCAGCATAATCATGGAAAAAGCTATATCCAGGAATAGAATAACAGGGCATCAGGGCCAGCAAATTCGATCTTTCTCCTGGTTTCAAAGTTCTCATTACAGACTCAGAAGCGGAATACGGTCCAATTTGATGTCGAAGTCCAGTGTATAGAGCAACAAGAACATTAACAGAAATCATGAACCAGAACACAAACGCGCGTAGGTGTCTGTATGATCTTAAAGTGAAAAAGTGGCCTGCATAAATACACAAGAAGGGAATAATTGGTAATAGAAATCGCTGTTCCTTATGAGGTAGAAGAGAATGGAAAACAACGTAGAAAAGAAATACATAGAAGGGTAAACGTGTGATAGAAGAGTTTATCACTCCCATTATGGCAGGCAAAAGTTGAATAGTTAGGACAGACGTCAAGCCTTGGGTGAAGTACCAATGCCATGGATGAACTCCGAAATGAGCACTTCCACCTTCTAGCACATTAAAAGAAAGGAAGTTCCATAGTGAAAAGGTAGGGTGAGCGTAAGAGACGGAGTCCAGTAAAAATGATCCTGTTAAAACGGGGATAACAGTGGGTAGAACAACAACACAGATCAATCCGAACGGATTGGAGGATTTGAAAAGGTGATTGATTCCGAGAACGAGCCAAATAAGAGCAGCTGTGGGTCTTATAATTATGGTAATGCTCCCAATCAGCATATACGGATATACTGATCCTCTGTACCGATTCCCTTCAAATGGATACCAATTGAGAGCGATGAGAGTGAGTGCTGTTTCTAGGGAATTTGATAATGTTCGGGGAGCACAGTAAAAGATGAACCATGAAGATAAGTATGTGAGAAAAGAGAACCATGCTTCTCTTGAGGATAAAGACAATCTTTTACAAATAGAATAAAATGAAATATCAGCAAAGGAGAACAAAATAGCATGGAATAAACGGGGAGCATTTACTAAAGTTACTTGACTATCTAATCCGAAAAATTGGAGAAGTTTGAAAACAAGTGAAATAAGTCCTGGATGAATAAAGGAACGGAGAGCATGATGCCATTCCCACGATAAATGGCCGTGGCCATACACAAGATGATGTGCTACTTCGCTTGATTGGTACACTTCGTCAGGTACAAACCAAGATTGAACCAATTGAACCGAAACAATACGGAAAGTAGCCAGGAAGGCCCACAACACAAACGTCATCTCACTGGAACAGGAGGCATAATGAGTAACATATAGCCCCCTGCCGGATATTTTTCACGACAGTACAAGCCTTACACAAACAGTTTAAAGACACTAACCTTCTTCAAGTATCTGACAATTTTCTTGAGATCGTACTCAGTACCAACACCTTGAACAGTTGTAATTGTTTTTCTTCCAGTACGTTGTTGAATTCGAATATGACAGAATCCTTGACGGGAGCCTTCTTCGTCTTCAAGTTGCTCGAATGCGTCTAAAAATCAATAAATATTTCGTTCAATTTTAGGATATACAACCTTTAGGCTTATTCAAATTTGTGATATTAGCCATATATAGTTTCGCAAGTAGCTGAAATATTAAAATAAAATATTTAAAAGGTTTGCAACTTTTAAAAAAGAGCACGGCTACGTCGAAATAAAAAAATTTGCGTCATATCTTTACAACGATAAATAATGTGGACGCTTGTAAACGCAGTACAGATTAAACGTAATAATGAACATGGTTGGTGGGACGGACAGAGAATAATTCGAAAGCGGCGAGTATAGCCAAACTTTTATAAACCCAAGAAAATTGTTAAATTTAAGCATGAGGAACGAAGATAAGAGATGTCACGAATTGATTCGGATGCGATTCGGTAATGTATTTTATGGTGGCAGTGGAATAAACAATGCAAATAATGAGGAAGCCGTCAAATATAACTCTATTTTCAGAAAAGTGTTTCATTTCATGCATTCTTATCGAAAGAAATATAGTAAGTTCAACTTTTGTTCATCGAGTTACCTAGGTGGTACTGTTTGCAAACGTTTATTCTTAGAAAAAATCGAGAAACGTAAGTACAACCTGTAACATTCCTCTACGACTTCCAGGAAAAAGATTAACGACACTATGATAACTTCAATCTAATCCGCACAGCGGTAACCAATATCTGAATATTTGATGCAAACCGTGGTGTGTGAAACGTTTGCAACTGTCTCCGATCACGAAACGCAATGACTGTTTCGATGAAGAAAGAAATGCCTGACATTGTGTTAATCGGAGATTATAGTACTTTCCATTATCCCTATAACAGTTTCAATCTCAGGTGGGGTTGAACATATGATACAAGTTCAATAAAATTTTGTGTGACTTAATCTCAAATATGCAAGCTGATGACCATATATTATCTATTCAAAGATTAGCATGATAATATCTATGTAAGCATATCCAATATCCTCTTAAAAATACGTGAGAAACATTATTTTTTTTGCCTTGTAGCTTTGTACAGAGCCATGTAGTGTCCAATGCCTTGTATATTTCACAACTAGCTTTTGTTAAGAAAAAGTAGAAAAGAGAACTGGGTGTGAAAATTTGTTTGTTCTTCCCTTTGTATTGATTAGAAAACATCCGTCTGTCCACTCCATAGACGAAAAGTGCAAACCAGGATCTTTGGAAAGGTCGCGTCTAGTAACGAGTACTTTCATTCTTCATTTCCGTGATAGAAGAGCGGTTGTCTACTAACTTGCAGTCTTCAAAATCTCATTGAGTTCGAGACTCAGAAGTCTTGATTACTTTCTGAAAGACAACTCTTTGTTTTGACCTACTTTTGTAAATGAAACTGTAACATTTGTATTAAAGTACAATTTAGTAGTCGTGCAGCGATGTCCGAGTGGTTAAGGAGTTAGACTTGAAATCTAATGGGCATTGCCCGCGTAGGTTCGAACCCTGCTCGCTGCGATCAGTTTTGTCATTAGTTGAATTAAAATTGGAAAAGCGGTGTAAGTACTTAATCATGAGTTGAGGATGATTCGGAAAAATGAGATAATGAAATGTGGTGATTGAAAGGAACTTTCTCCAAAATCTCATAAGTCAAGATCCCATATGAATGGATGGTTGGACATATGAAGATGTGTGTCCGGAGCAGAAAGTTTAATAAATTATTAACAAAGAAACTGGTAAAGTCCTCATTTGGATAGAGCTAATAACAGTTTAGTCATTAATAATTAACAATATATATTATATGTCTCAATAAGCTCATCATATCGTCACCTAATAATGCTCATCTCATAGAAATCAATGACGAAAGGATTGAAAACATTGGAAGAAATGTTTTAAAAACTGAAGAAACTAAGTATTTTATTTCAAATTGTTCAGAAGAATCAGATTTTCGATAGGAACATTTGGAAATTTGAGGCTTGAGAACTGATTTCATCCCACGGTCGATTCAGTAAGGGTAGACAGCAAAGTAAAAGACACTTTGATAACTTTTTTATCGTTTGATATTTGATTGACGGCACACTATATAAGGTATGGATCCTTCGATCATCAACTGGCATCTTTTTGTTTTTTTCTTTCAAAAAAATGGTTTTAAACTTTAAGGTTTAACATGAGATATGAGGTTGAGATAAGATGAAGTACTTCTTCTGACTTCAATCAGCCGCTAATGATTCATGAAAAAGGATTTTCCGTCTTATCTCTTGTTCAAATACATTTTTGTAATGTTCCTTAGTTAGATGTTACGGTAATGCTCCGGATTATGGTGTTTATGTAAGTTGTTGAATATATATTTGCTTAAAAAATAACAACAATCTAACAAAGAACACACATGTGCATGTCAACGGACGACAGAATCATGGGTAGTCCATCTGCTCTTTTAATTCGCCTAATAAGGTCTGTGTCGGTTCAAGCTGTATGCTCGCAGGAGCTACGAACTGGCCTTATAGGGTAATTGGAGTCTGTCAGCCGCAATCAGAAGAAAAGATGTCACGTCTGACGATTCTGATGTGTTCATCTCTACATTCAAATCACAACTCATCATCATCTTCTTTGGCCACAACTTTGTATTTATCTAATTCACTGTTGAGCAAAAGAGAATGGAAAACAACACAATTTAATTTTTCTCTTCTTAACATAAACCAATGAGCATGGCAATATTAACTTGAGCGCACTCCTTACGAACTATTACAAACGGTTCACTCTCCACCATTTCTGTTGCTTTTTCTCTCCGTTTCCATATTCCTCATTCACTTCAAGATAGTCTCCATCCAGTGTCTTCACACTTAATTTTGATAAGTATGATGACGGAGCAGCAGCAATCTCCAATCCTGTATGTATGGATTTGGAAGATCCAGAAGCTAAAACGGAGCGCATCCCTTCAAGCTACGCACACCCGAGAATGTTAGTTGGCAAAAAGGAAAAACCCAGGCAGTTCAGTCCAGTAATTTGATATGACGCCTCGACTCCAGCCTTCGATGCACCGGCTATTCAGTGCAAGCGTTGGGCCCAGCTTCAGAATCTCGTGGTGGTACGATAGAAAAAAGGATACACATACACTACAGAGAAAGGCCAGATTTCAGGAGCTACAGCTCCGCTTTCCGTTTATATCCAAATAGAAGAAGAAGAAGCACGAGCTTAGACACATCTAAACATGAGCAGCCAGCTGTCATTTTTCCCGATTAGAGCTCTCATTCAGTAAATAAGAAGATTGAGGGTGGCAGGATGAGTAATATGAGATCATAAACGGTCAATAGTAACACATTGTGATAAAGTTGAAGAAACATGAAAACGTTTAAGCTTATCAGAATTTGGACAATGCATTGCAAGATCGAAGAAACATGCATCAGCTTCCTTACCCATATAAGACAATAGAAAAGTCATCATAAAGACTTTATTGTCTTGAGAAGGAAGTTTCTACATTCAGATGATTGAAGCTGAAGAATAGACATTACCTCAGCCTTTCTGCTATACTGTATTAACTATATATATTATATGCTTCATTAATTATTGGAAATTTTTCTTATTTTACACAAATTTTTATAATAATTATTGAAATGCTTTTTGGGTGACACGTCACCCATCCTGAATCATCTGAAGATTAATCGAAATATCTTTTTTTCTTCTCAAATACTCGGTAATCTTTATGAAACTATATGGGATTATGAAGAACCACATTTTGTTATTTATAAATTCTATTATAACTTTCATTTATGTCTTATCTCAGCTTCTTACACCTTATTCAATAATAGACAAACTTTTTTTTTCTAAAATGGGGAATGATAGAGATAGATAAAGAGGAAATGAGAGAGAAAAGACAGACGATTTTCTACAATCCATAGCTGACGAGAAGGGCGGGCTAACAGAATCCCGCCTACCGGTGCTGGCAGTGTGCCCCCTGTGAGTCTCCTCCCCTTTTAGCGTCAGCAGCACTGCTTCCGTCTCGCGTGTCTCCTCTTCAGTCTGCCTTTTTGATCGTGTTAAGAGAGAAAAAAGATTTTTTCTTCTTAATTAAGTTGTTTTTGAATAATTCAAAGACAAATCAAGTTTGTATAGGATAGTAGGAATACTGTATCTTCGTGGACAAAAAATAAAATTAACTCTATATCTCTTCATTACCTATTAATATAACTATATACTTACCTATACGCTAACTATTATTCCTATATCTTTATATTATATCAATCCTGGCTGCTAATATAATTTGTATGCGTGGCGGATTTGAGCGCTTTGATCTGCCACCTGGTCCATCCGAAGTTATTCAAACGTCTTCTGAAATCTCATCTGGAGACATCACCTCGATCTCTTCAAATACTATGCCAGTTGGAATGGTTCATGACTACTGGAGTGCTCCAACAACAACTGAATTAACGTCAGTTGGAGGATGTATGGCCGAATCAGAAGAAAGTACCGTCTGTCCAACAACAACACCTCCGTCAACGATTATCAGCTTGAATTCCGATGAAATGATGCAACAACCAAGTCAGTTTTTTTCTTTTTCTTCTTTTTCTTAAAAAAAAATATTTTGTTCTTTTCGTTCCTTATCATCATAATCATAACTAATCATAGTTGAGTGATGTTGTCTTCTAGTCTAGTCTGTGGATTATCAACGGATATCCGCCACAAGGCTGGCAAATCCGCCCCTATCTTTGCTGTGTATGTTCCTTCATCTTTTCTCCTTCTTCCTTCGTTTTTGCTTTGATTTCAATTATTTCTTTTTTTCTATTTTCGTTTTAAGGGGTTAGCAAAATTCTCTCTCTCTCTCTCTCTCTCTCTCTCTCTCTCTCTCTCTCTCTCTCTACCTCTCTATCTCTCCCTCTATCATTTGCTCTTCTCTGACTATTTTCTTCATTATTATTCTCTCTCTTTGTTCATTTGTTAACAAAAGTTCTTCAAGAGGATATCATGAATATATTTATATATTGCGTGTTCATATGTTATATCAAACTTCCTTACAATCACTAAATGATAATCTATCGATTTGGAATTTTGAAATCATCCAAGCTTGTCTCAAAAAGTCTCAGATGAAGTCAGCTGACATTTAATCCTCCGAAAAAAAACCTTTCCATACGGAGCAAAATGACCTGCCTCTGTCTTCTCTACTGTCTATATACAATCAAGTTGAATGACAAGGAGGGACATTTTGAATTTTTGTAAAGTTTTATTCTACTATTCCTTTTGTCAGAGAGCATTCAGCTTCTCCTTGGGGCAGTTCAACGTAGTCTCAAACAGCCTATATGGTCATTAGGGTACGACGAGACCAGTTAATCATCATTTTTGGCACCCACTCTTTAGTCGGTTGCCATAAAAGGATCTACATGGATATGGATAAAGTATTGATGATACATAAGGCTTAAGTCAGAGAGTTAGACGATCTATTCGGAGAGATAGCGTAATTACTTAAGAGTGTCTAAACTATTAGAGAAGCTGCTTTAAAGCCTCAAACACAAAGGCTGAAATTCATCTACTTCTATCCTTTCTCCTCCATGCCTCTGTCTTCAGTTCACCACGAAAGGCCATAGTTAAGTTGTCACTCAGAAGACGAAGTCTTTCAGTCGAGACCTATAAGTAGAAGAAAGATAGACTATTAGCACATGATGGTTATATAAATGATTTGAGACCTTACGAACTTCAACAAATGTCCGTCTCTCTCTCTCTCTCTCTCTCTCTCTCTCTCTCTCTCTCTCTCGGTCTTTCTCTCTTTATTCCTTCTCACCCTGTTTCTTCCCTTTCCTACCTTACCGGGGGTCGAAACAAACATCTCGAATTTCATTATTCATCTGAATTTTCAGATGATCGTTGATGTTCTTTTTCAAAATAATTCGAATATTGAAGAGATTAGAGATTTCTACAACCTTAGAAGATCAAAATGACCAAAAGTAAATCTCTGTCGGAATCAATGACTCGAATTTCTTTCAAACATTTCTGTAGTTTACCTTCTCCCTTCTCGGTTTTCCTTCCCTCTCCGTCTCTAGTTCTCGTCTTCTCTCACTCCTTTCCATACTGAGAAAATAAAAAACAAGTAATTTTGTAACTCAACGTTTCATTGACTTTTATTTGGAGACTAATTTCCTAAGTCAATCAGATTTTGAACCAACAGCACCTTTAGTTGGAGCCATTTCTTGTTTTACAACCCAAGTTTATAGTTGCCTCAAGGGATTGGCTTAGATCTTAAAATCGAAAATACCCTTTTCTTGAATTCTTCGTTAAAATTAAGGCTGAAAAGAAGGAGATTGTTTTATGAAATGAGGGGGATAAAAGGAGAAGAAGTGTTGATTGTAATGTAAACTCACATCTATGATATCATGTAAGAAGCTTACTTAACAGCTTAGATAGAATACTATTTTTAAAATTGAATTTACTTTCCAGAAGAAGGGAAAATCTCATGTCGTCTTCTTTCTCCCATCGCTAACATAGGCTTTTCCTCTTTCCGCCTCTCTCCATATCTTCCTATCATATCTCTTTATCTTTTCATATTTATATCTCTGTACTCTCTTCATATTACCTCATCTCTCAATCATTTCTGTCTCTCTCTATCTCTACATCTCAAACAACAATATTTTGATTCTGTGCTAGATGAAAACTTGAGAGACAAATTATTGTAAAATAAAATATAAAATAAAAAAAAAAAAGTTTTCATTTCAGAGCCACGAATGACCATATGTGCTTTATGTAATTTAGGTGAGAGTCTTAGTTGTATGTTTCAAATATGATTTTTGTAAAAATATTTTAGAAATAGTTGATCAATTCATTTTGAGAGTTCATCCCGATATGGAATTTCACGCTTCATGTCTCAAGGTACGTTTGTATAAGTTTATAATAAATAATAAAATGAGCATTTATGTTTTAAAATTCAACTTTTTCATTCAAATTTCATCATTCAAATGTATTTTTGAAAAACGGCCCTGTTCACCTCATCTTTTCAAATCAAATTAACATTGTTTAGTGCAATAAACCTATGTTGTAGTCTGACTTCCGACTAATTTGACATCCAATTCATGCTTTGACTAGCTGAAGGAGATTCAGATGAATTTCACATCTGGCTTCTGCTTCCGAGCTTTTCTACCGATGTCATTGCGTGTTTTACCAGTCTGTATTACCACATTGAATCATGCAAGAGCCTCAAAAAGATAGATAGATAGTAAGAAAGAGGGAGAGGGAGAGAGAGAGAGAGCAAATGAGAAAGAGAGAGGGACGGCAGGTATGGAAGAGATTTCAACCCACCAAGAAACATTGAATATTCAGCTTATGTTTCGCGATTCTGACTGTCTGCACTCTCTCACATGAATGAGTTCACTAACGCCCATGTCACACCTGTTTCATCGTGTGACATCTCTCTTAAGCCATATGCAGAATGTCCTAAATGTCCTAAATGAATAAATTTAAGTCGAACGAAAGGTTTTTGACTCTTCTTCCCTTATTCTGCACGTCAAATGCCCTGAGGCAGATATAAAATATACAAACTGTCATTTGAGGGAAATGACAAACTGAATGAGAAAATTGTATAAGAGAGATTGTCCCAAAAGATAAACTGATAGTTCATGGGATGCATATGTTTTGGTTCTTCTTTTTGTATTAAGAAGAACACAGACTATTGACAGTCGGTTGGCATGCTGATGAAGCCGACACTTTTCAATCCGATCCTCCGTCGTCTGTATCTTCCGACGTGCTGTGAAATTCGACACCTTTGACGTCGTGGGTGCCGTCACCTTAACCACGATTCTCAGCAGACGTCGTTGGGTCTTTCACCAACCGTATTCACAAAATAATCTCTGGTTCTCTCACATACGCATGATGTTTCAATGGTATATGTGGCCATAGCTTATTTCCTTCTTTCGCCATGAATAGTAAGCGAACAAAACGTGAATGACGTGAATGTAAAAGAAGTTATGTCTGGCTTTCTTTAATTGTTGATATAAGGAAGTGAGAAAGTTAAGGGACTGACCCTTGGCTCGCTGTTCACTCTCTCCCTCTCCCACTCTCTCTAAATCTCCAACTGTCTTGACCGAAACAGAATGAGCGAGCAATACAGAGGGAGAAGTCATGATTAACCTTTATGCACAATAGAATCACATAATTAATTTCAAATAATTACTTTCAGTGTCACGAGTGTCAACGTAATCTGGATGAATCCTGTACAACGTTTGTTCGTGATCGTCGAACATATTGTCGGGATGACTATATGAGGTAAAAAAACATGTTTTTCTCTCTACTTTTATGTTAATCTCATCTATTTTTTGTTTTTTCTCACAACAAAATACTTTTTCTCTTTTACTTCAACTGATTCTCTTGCGATGAGTCTTATGTGAGTTTCGAGAGGTGTCACTTTCAATGCAAATCCCGCAAATCGAATTAGTCCATAGGGTCAGAACAGCTCTTTCGTATTCTCGTTTCTCTTCATTTTATGTTCTATTTTACTTTTTTTTGTATGAGCCACACAGCTCCAACTCGAAGCTTCTCTCATGCCCGTTGACATCGGCTTGAATTTCCATTTGAGTTCAGATTCCCAAAAGTTTGGGTCACAAATGTATCTAGACAACAGTAAACTTCTCTTTCTCTCTCCTTCTCTCTATCTTTGAAGGAAGAAAGTTATTTTGAACAGCAAATATTGTTGGTAGCGGAAGCGAAAAGGAGCAAAATAGAAGTTGAATGGTCAAAAAAGGAGTTAATGTTGCTCTTCTAACACTCTCTTGATCATGATGTCTCTCGGCCTGTTTGAACAAGTCAAAAGTCAACAGGTGCTCATATTTATTGATATTTTATTATTTTTATTATCAAAAATCATTTGAAATTCAATAATTTCTCTTACAAATACAATCGTCTGATAAAGAAATCCATTAACACCATCATCACAGACCGTACGCTAGGCTACGGTAGTCTCCTACGCCATCGGTCTCTCTCTCTCTCTCTGTACATCAGTTTCTTCTTTTCTCTCTCTTCTTCTATAACATTCTCTAGGCAACCTGACCAAAGTCTGTGGTTTACTGGACATTTTCTGGTCTTTTGTTGCTTCTCCTAATTTCGGAACTTCTTGTATATGACTGTGTTCTTACTAATGTCGCCTCTCTCTCATCATTCATCATCTTCTCTCGTTCTCTATTCTCCCTCTGAAAAGTCTATTTCTCTTGTATATTTTAACTTTCCCTTTGTATATTTCCATTTATCTTTATTCGTTACCGTAATCCACTGCGTAATTAGCGTGTAATTCGGTTGTCATCTAGTGCTTGGCTGGTTGGTCACACCAAGGCCAGTTATGGGAAATACCGAAGGAACGAGGGAGAAAAAACGAGAAGAAAATAAGAGAACTGTATGAACTAGATGATCATAGAGAACAACATTGAAGAAAAAAGTCTTCTGAGGTTCAAATGAGGGAAGGAAATGTTGCCAAATATGAGAATGAAAAGGAAAATAGAAGAGGCGACATATTTATTTCCGGTCAGAGATTTTATAACATATAATTAGTGATATAATGTAATGAGAGAGAAAGGAGCCGTGTTAAAATAATGTTTTTTCCCTTTTATGTCAGATGGTCAATTGGGAGAAGTCACATCAAAGCTCCCCAAATTACATCATCATCTGTCATACACATGGGGTGGGAGGGGGATGTCTCAGCTGATTATTAGTTATTGGCGGCTCATAAAATTAAATGAAAAAGGCTTGTAAGAGCAAAAGCTTTGAGTCTGATTGACTTTTTCCGTCTGTTACCAACATTCCGGAAGCTTTCATGTAACATTCGCTTAAAAGCGGATATGAAGATGAAGCTCCAAAGATGAATGGAAAGATCTTCTCTCTTCACCGAAGGAGAGGGAATATGCAAAAGTGTAGCTTTTTGATTTCCTGTTCCTTGCATAAATTAATGTGAAAATTATTGAAAAAAAACTTGCAGATTATTCGCTACGAAGTGCTCAAGATGTGATCAAGTCTTTGGCCGACATGAGATGGTCATGAGAGCTCGAGATGTCGTTTTTCACGTTAACTGTTTCAACTGTGTTGCTTGTCAACGTCTTCTGAAAACAGGCGATGAGTTTCAGGTTTGCATCATGCATCTTGGCTTTCTTCATTTTTTGTTATGTTATTATAGATTAAGGGAGATAGATTATACTGTAAGGATGATTGTCGCAATTTGATGCAAACTTCCGTTGCTTCAGGCATTTCTCACCAATCCTCTACTGACGTCATGGTATCATTGTAATATTGTTAATATCTATCCTCTGATATTTCTTTTAAGCGAAATCCTGTTGGGTCTGTAGCTTCGCTTGTGGCTCCCTCTTCTACATCAACGTTAGGCGCAACAGCTGGATTAGGCGTAGCTGGAGGAGTTGCAGCTTCTGCTGTCCCAACTTCTACAACAACAACGACATCTCTGGATTTAAGTTGTCGCCCTCCGTCTGGAATGATGACTAGTACCACAACACCTTCTATGTATGCTGATGATGACAATTGGGATTCTTGTACAATGGTCAGTCTCGACCATACTAATAGCACGAGTCCTCCTTTATCTGTTCGGTAAGTAGATGAAGTTGGTAGAGAGGAAAACAAGATTGATTTAAAGATCTCCAAAGTCCGAAGAAATGATGTCGAATGGCTATGGATCGTATGCCTCAGGGAACAATGTGTCTTCAGGAGGCACTACAACCTCAGGTTCATCGAAAAAGAAAAAAGACAAGCAGGTTCGTCTTGAATTCATATATATGATGATGAATATGATTAAATATTCAGACGACACGTGTTCGAACAGTTTTAAATGAGACGCAATTAAGTCTTTTAAAGAAATGTTATGCGCATAATGCTCGTCCAGATGCTATGCTTAAGGAGCAACTTGTTGAAATGACAGGTAATATATGCAAATGAGCTGTGTATACAGTCTATCTCCTTTAAAGGTCTGAATGCTCGTGTAATTAGGGTTTGGTTCCAAAATAAGCGATGTAAAGATAAGAAACGTCAAATACAAATGAGAGATTATCAGGCAAATGCTGAAAAAGTAAGTTAATTAGAAGAATTACAGAAAAGAACATATTTGGTCATAAGCTGCTTAATCCCTCTTGAAGCATGACAAAATCTATATTTATATAGTTACATAAAGTCAATAACTTATATGAATAGTTAGGAGATGAGCTAAAAAAACAAATAATTAGCATATTCTCCTATGACTCTGAGTCTCTTTTGAAGTGTTTTTAAAGAGAAAATCGAGGTTAATACCCATGTTGTGTGTTAATCCACTTGACTTGAGCATCTTTAACTCTAAGTTATGTAACAATTCATCCGTTAGCTATATGAATATAGTTAATAACAATGCATTTTACTTTTCTTGCTTTCTCATCCGTAGTTCCTTTCTTTTATATCTAAATAGTCTCGAACAGAAGACTACGGTAATTTCAATCGTTCACTTCATTAACTAAAAGTTATTGAATTAAAAAAATCTTTTATTTCCAAGTTTATATAGTCTATAAGAACGTTCTGGTAGGAGAGACAGGAAAGATAACAGGAAATAGGACATTAACTCATTCAGAATGAGAATAAGAAGACAACTATCCTTAGCCAACTAAAGAGAGAAAGAGGGAGAGAAAGAGAGTGAGTATGTGTATGTGAGGGAAATCTCTTTCTCTCTCTCTCTCTCTAATCAACTAGAAGTTGTAAAAACAAAAAGATATTCAAAACAACTACGATATTTCCAACGTTTGCTTCGAATTTCATGCAAACCCCAAATGTACAGGGTGACATTACCGTAATCTTCGAATTGAACAACCAGATGATTATTCCTTAGAGAGAAGACGAGGGGGGACGGGAGAGCAAAAGAAGTAGAGGGCAAGAGAGAATACCGTATACCTCCAAAGGAAAATTGACTAAATGAATTTGACGCAAGCCAATCCGCTTGCTTAATTCGATCATCAATGTGAAGTTGCTTCCTCTCTCTCTGATACTCCCTCAGGCAATCTTTTGTTTCTCTTTTAACTTATTCTTTAGTCATTTCATGATTTTGTGAAGAGGACACAACGAGAAAGAAGGAGATTACGAAGAGAAACACAAAATATTTGGAAAAAAGTGTTTTCTCTCTCTTATCCTCATTTTCCTTGGAGAAGTTGTCAAATTGAAAATTCTGTGAAAACGAGCGCAACCTTCGTTGTTTATTACTTCACTCAATGCTTTCTCGTTTTGCTCTCACTGTTCATCAAGACAGGAGGGGGGGGGGAGACTAAAAAAATACTTTTTATTGGTCCTGAAAAGAATATTTCAAATGGATTTCTTAAAACATCTGTCAATTGGCTTTCATCCTCATATAACTCATTAGCAATATGGTTAATGATCCAATCTTTTTGTTAAAAAAAGAAAAAAAAAGAGAGAAAGAAAAGCTTCTTTGAGGCGATGAGTGAATTACTCTAAATGGAACAAATTAGAAGAGTATAAAACGCCTAAGGCAATTTGCTTTTGACTACGTCATCGTCTTTCTAATTTGTCATCTGTCATTTAGAATTTAAATATTTGACATATATAGTTTGTGAATTTTGTAATACATATAGTTAAGTCTTATCTTTCTCTGGTACTCTCTTACTCTTGCTATCTCACCCTCCTTAGTGTTAGAAGAGGATGAATAACTTGAAAATTTTTGAAAAGATGTTCCTCTTCCCCGACCACTTTCACTTGTCTCAGCTTGGGAAACAGGCCATATGTGCAAGCTACCCAGCTTCAGCAAAAACTGTTTACTGGTTAACCCATATAGTAAATACTCCATTTCTGCTTCTACTAGAGGGATTGTTAATTATTTTAATTTTCATTTATTATAGAATTATGTGTTAATTCTTATATGTAATCTCAGGTCAGTCAGTCTGTATAAGCTTAGATTATCGGCTGGAGGATTTGACCAAACAATTCAGAAATTTGATCTCATCTCGACAGTTCCGGTCATTTGATTATGATCTGAAGATCACTGTGGTGTCAGAAGATGACCATTTCCATGTAATCCGCAACCCTGTTCTTTCTTCATCTCTCTTATACTCTCTTCATATCTCTTCAAATGAGCAGTTGTTACAAGAAATCTGAAGTAGGAGTAAGGGGAACGAGAAAATAATGAAATAGCATATGGCTTCATATAGTTAGCATAAACAATTTATATGATAAAATCATTCCATATGTTAAGTATGATGATGAAAAATACTAAAAAATTCTTTCAAAGATGGAATAAGGGTTGTATGAGAATGACCTTCTCACGTTTGTACCTTTTTTGTCTTTTGCATGGATTGAATAGAAAGTTAAGATTCCTATCTCGACAACCTCATTAACTTGTTATTTTTCTTCTTCTAATACAATTTCTGTTCAAATATGAAGGGGAGCAGTTCTTTCATGTTAACTATATACATATAATTAATATAATTAGTTGAAAGGTGAGATGATGATACACAAACAAACTTAATTATTAGTCGGTAGATGAGGCAAAGACTATCTTCCTATTAACTGTGTACCCTCATCGTGTGCATATAATTGACAGATGGTTTCATAAACTTTTTTTTTTCGGCACATTCCTTGTTTGGATGAACAAAAGCTCTTCGCTAGTAATTATATAGTTTACAACTAATTAATTATACTAACTATGACCTTTGTCGGCTCATATAATAACATGTATACGTATCTTCATTCATTTATGTTATTTCAGGAAAGAGCTTTAAATCATGTACGTGTTGGAGGAGTAGGTCCTATGATTGCTTCAGCTCCAACAACACATATTGATAATATGGGACAGCCGATTGATATTCAGCATTTCCAACAATGGCCAGGAACTACAGCTCCACCACCAAATCATATGGATGCCAATGTTGCGATGGATGGAGGATATCCCCCCAATGGAATTGTAAGTACTTACCTTCTGATATTTGATATTCCAATTGACAGTCAGTGTCACCTCTCTCACCTGTCAAGAGCTTTTGAAGAAAATCTTATTTCAAGAAAATTATTATTATAAACAGCTGGTTAAATAACTTTTTTTCTTTTAAGGGATACGCCGATCTGGTTGCTCCTCCTGATATGGGATATATGACTTCAGGTGGACCACCACCACCTGGATACCATCATGAATACTCACCTCATCTTCACACATCAGATTTATCATCCCCTAGCTGTAGTGAATAAGAAAAACACAAACTTTCTACTACTAATATCAATCACTTATTATATATAAATGTTCTTTACGAGGTTTTTTTTCCAAGTCCATTCTCCCTCTCTTCTTCCTCTCACTCCCTCTCATTCATTCTCTTTGTCTCTCTTTCTTTAATTTTGTATGAGTAGTCCCCTCTCTTACTGTTTGAAACTCTCTCTCTCCCTCTCTCTCTCTCTCTCTCTCTCTCTCTCTCTCTCTCTTAAGTATATCTCTTGCCGCGTTTCATCCACTTTTATCACAGCCAGCTTACCATGCGGGACCAACTTCTCTTTTACATTACTTTTATGAAAATTTTGGTTTTATTTTGTGCAAATGAAAGAAGTCACAGTCACAACGAAATGACTTCCACAATCTTTGTTTTTTTGAGAATTTTTTTAAATTTGAAAAAAACCTCTTAAGGAACGACAAAGTGAAAAAGAAAATTTCTCTTCTTTATTATTATTATTATGAATGCTCATTTGGTTGTCTGAAAATTTTTATGCTTTGTTTTACATATATATACATATAAATATGTTTATATATGTATA